ACACAAATACCATATCCAATCTTATCTCTCTCCAGTGATCCACAAAATCAATTCTCAATCACGTTGTCTTATCTCATTGCCATGGATCGAAATTCTCTAGCCATGGATTAAGATTGTGTTTCTTATCCTCCGTTAAACTCTTCATTGTCGTTAAATCTCCTCGTCTAATTGAGGCTAAAGATCGATAATAGTTCACTATGTTCAGAAATTAGGTAACTATGTTTCTTATAATAGTTAACTATGTATATTATTCTTTCTATTATACAAACTATAATAGATAATTATATTTTCGATAATAGTTAACTATATATGTTATTTTTCAATATGAAAACTATAATAGGTACTTTGAACATATAGTTAACTATGTTTTTTTAATAAGTAACTATTATAACAACTATTTCACATAGTTAACTATGTTATTCGTAAATTAGACAACTATGCTCTAAAAATAGTTAATTATGTTTTTTAAATTATAACTCTTTTATGAAAAATAGTTAACTATGATTCAGTTACAAAATAAAGTGAGATAGTTAACTATTTTCCCAGATCAATAGTTTCGAAAATAGTTAACTATGTTATTAAATAGTTATTATAGCATATTTGTCTTTTTGTCATCTTCTTTGTATTTCTGACCTAATTTTATTTTGTTTGAAGAGCAGATCTATATTTTTCCAGAGAAAAAAAACCAGAGATGAGAGAAACATTTAATTAGAGATTTGTTTCTAGATTTACTTTAATTAAATATATATGAGCAATTTCGTCCTAATTTATTTCTCTTTGTTACTTACATAATTTTATTTTCTGACATGTTAGTTACCCAATTTTGTCTCTCATAAGTAATATTCAACTAATTAACCATTTTTCCCTTTTAGTTTGTTATAAATTGAATTAGTGTGTTGAGCCCGCAAGAATTATATATAGAGTTAATTAGCTGTATATTACTTTTGAGATTTATAATTAGAAAATTAACATATCCAAAAAAATAATTAGGTAACTAGCAAAGAGAATTAAATTATGACAAAATTGCCCTTACAACTATAATTAAGGTAAATATACATTAAAAATCCCTAAATATATTCTCTTTATTTAATCCCTAGAAAATTGCTCCTGCAATAGTATCATTGACAAAAGTAGATGTGTGTTTTCACAACTGCCATAGAAAAAAAAAAATTGGATCAAAAGATACAAAAAATAAATATGTCATAATAGTTAACTATTTAATAACATAGTTAACTATTTTTGAAACTTCTCAGAACATAGTTAACTATTTTTTGAAAATAGTTACCAATCTTATCTTATATAATATTTTAAGGTTCTTCAAAACTAAAGTTATGAGAGGCTGCCATGTGGCACCCATTTTTGGCATTTGAAATTTGAATTATCTATTGAAAAAAAAAATGAAAATTTTGTGTTAATAACTTGACAA